AGGACGCTGGGCTATACAACAACATTTAGGTCCTTTTAACTTTCTTTTGGCTGACGGGACATCTCTGCCGGTCGGGGGATTACCCCTCCTACGGTGGAGCTCCGATCTCTTTCAAAACCCTACATAACTTTGATGTACCAGATTGTTTTTTTTCTCGTTGCCTGTATTGTTAGTCTTTTTACTGGGATCCGTTTTAATTGCTTCTATTTGAGTACATATGAATTGTAAGCCAACTCCGTATCGGAATTTGCAGGCAAAACCCCTCTCTGGGGCCTCCTATTTTATAGAGATGAACTAGCCAACGGCTAAAAATCTCTCTAATGAAGTAAAAAATAAAAATAAATAAAAGATGGCAGAGTTGTAGCCAACCGGGAATCTTGCTTCAAAACACTCTCACCTATTCTGGAATTACTGTAATTCCTGAAAAGAAAGAAAATTTCCTTTTCGAAGGGAAAGTATGGGATCAGGATGAGACAGATCAGACAGATCATTTCTACTGGTCGTTTGAGGAACCCATCTTTCGTTTTTAACGTTACAACTCTTACGACTCCGTCTTCACCCGGATGGGTCTGCGTGATTCGCCCCATTTGAAACCGTGTTGGGGGTAGCTTCTAGTCGCAAACTACCACCAATCTGCCAACCTCGATTGATTTCACAGGACCCAAGCGTTGTGCCTTGCAGTTGGCACAAATACTCCTTGCGCCATCTGTTCCAAAATCCTTGGAACTTCTGCTGCAGTTGTTGATAGTGGTTGAGCCGGTTTGTAGGTACATTCAACCAATCAGGTTCAGGTAGATCGTAAAGCGATGAACCTATCAAGAAATGACCTGGTGTCAATGGCTCTAGGTCGTTCGGGTCATCGGAGATGGTCGTAATCGGTCGGCAATTAAGGCAAGCTTCGACTTGCACGAGCAGAGTTTACAAATCTTCTGGCGAAATCGGTTCTTCTCCAACGACTCTAAGCAGATGATGTTTGACTGATCTAACGGCCACCTCCCACAGACAGCCGAAGTGAGGAGCATTCGGGGGATTGAAGTGCCATTGGATGCCTTCGTGTGTGCAGTGTTTGGTTACCGCTTCCTGGTGCTTACTGTCTCGCAACATCGTGAACAATTCATGGAATAGGGTGAGGCTTATTTTTCAAAATCTTTCGGGGACACGTTTTCTCATATGGAAAATGATTACTAGGGCCAAATGAGGAACATATCCAAAAATGAGCGTTTTCGTTAAGATTTAGAGGTGGCGCCAGAGGCCTAAGGCCCAAAACAAATTTTTGTTGCACACTTCCCAAGTAAAATTTTTGGTTTTATAAGGGTTCTGTAGACCATGATTTAGACTTGTAGCATGCTTTAAAACCTCCATAAAACTTGCAATGTTACTTGGGTTGGTATCTAAGCGAGGAACTAGTTGGGCTTGTTGTATTCGTTGAAAGTCTTCCCGACATGGAGCGACAGAATCTCGCACTGTCGATTCGATTGAAACCAGGAGGTCATAGGGTCGATTTCGTGCTCCGACGAAGTTTGTCCCGTTATCGCTATAAATATCGGTACATCTGTCTCACATCATCCCACGAAACAGCGAAGTGCTTGTAGGAATCGATCGGTGGATAAATCCGAGACGAGCTCCAGATGGACTGCTTTCGATGCCATGCAGATGAATACGGAAAAGTAAGCCTTAACGGCGACACGACGTGGACCGGGAGGAACTAAGACAGGTCCGAAGTAGTTCACACCAGTTTTAGCGAACGGTCGAGACACAGTGACTCTGGACGATGGCAGCTCACCCATGAACTGTGTTGGCGGTGTATTTGCTCTGAAGCATTTCAAACAACGAGCTACATTCCTTCCTTAGGAGGAGGCCAAAACTTTTGTCTGATGGTGCTTAATAGAAGCTGCGGTCCTGCATGTAACAGGATGTGATGGTAATGCTCCATAATCATCCTAATTAACCGGTGATAAGCCAGTAAGACTAACGGGTGTTTGGTGCTTTCCGACACGTAGAAGTTGATCTTCTTGAAGGAATGGGTTAAACCCAGGGAAGTGGCACCCCTATTTCCACATGTAGCCGTAGCGAGCATAACCGCGGGCTCACGCTTGGGCCTAGCTTTGATTACTTTGTTTTAACTTTTTTATGCTGCCTACGAAAAGATGGCTGCGTGCCAGTCCCTTGGTTAAACCACTTAAGTGGTGATTTTCTGGAGACCATCCTTGCTTGAGATAACGCATTTTGCTCGTCGGCGAAGGTTTCCCGTTGAATTAAACGAACTATGGTGAATTCCGCTTGTCGTAATTCCGAAATGGTGAGAAACCCTATCGGATGCTCTTTCGATTATAAGGCTGGTGTAGTTTGAGAATTTGCTGATATAGGGTAGAGAACTACTTCGGCCTAATCGCCCATTTTGGGCCTATCGAGCAGAAAACTTCAAATAAATCCATGATTTCAGAGTTAACAAGTCAATTATGCGTTTGGTACGATACTTTAGTTAATAAGCTACCGAACGAAGTCAATGAGAACGCGTGATATGAAGGTTTGCACCCATTATTCCCAAAAACCAAAGAAGCCAAAAACCAAAGAAGCGGTCCGACCAAATCAATTTTTATCTTCATCCGATAGGCCGAAGTAAATTCATTGGCGTTTCAATTGCGTTTCAATGCGTTAGGCCGAGTTTAAAATCCGTAGGCCGAGTTTGGCGTCAAGAAGTAGTGTTGGACTTTTGACAATATCTCAACGATTGGTTTCTCTTCAAATCTTACGGTACGTACGGAAAGGTAAACAAATTTGGAAGCCATCAGTTATAATAACATTCCGTTTGGTGCTAAGTGCGGGTTATGCTTAATAGGCCGGAAATGGGGTAGTTAACCCTGCCAATCATTGAAGTCTGCTAATGCGGATGACATCCCTGCTAAAACAGTTCGTCGTATTCCTTTGTATAATCGTGTAGTGTAATTTGATAAGCCAAATAAATGTAGTGATTGTGAGTATGTGTTTCAAAACAAACGATGCGTTTTGATAATGTGACCAGTCCGAGAAAGATAATTCTACCTGCTGCTGAGAGGTTTTAGTTGATGGTGGATTATTAACGATATCAAGATCGTTCCATTACATCAGCAATTTGGTGTTGGAGCTCCACTACGTCATCGAAGGTGAGTCGGTTCAGGGCACAACATTTGGGAGGAAACAAGATCAAGTTCGATGGAAAAGACATCAACCCACCAAAATGTTCCAGACTGTGGCTGATCGAACGCTACTTGGCAATTGTCAAGCGAATCTTCAAGGAGGAAAGTACAGTGTACCAAAACATGTCCGATTTAGGAAAAAAAATGTTTTGCCACTTTCAGGAAGTTCACAAAGGCCACAGAGCAGAACTCAAAGGACGGAGTCAAATCTTTACAATCTGCCTAATTTTTCCGATTTGCTGTTTTAACAACATATTAAGCCATAATGAAATGCACTGTTTTGCAAATGTTCTCAATGTTTTCAACTACTTTTCGATACACTCTTCAAAACGTGTCAATCCCAGTTTAAGAGAGTCACAATCAGCGGTTTAATCATTTTCACTCACATACTCACTAACTCGATCATAAAAGCACTGATTATGACTATTTTAAAAGTGTAGTTGGCAGGTTTTATGTGTCAAACAAAAACTTTACAACCCCTTTTGAAACATACAAGCACAAACTCTACGTAATGATTTCATAATACCGAAAAACTTGATTTTATAGCAAAATGAGCATTGAGCAGCCTTGATTAAAAATATCAAAATTGAATTTTTGTGAGATTTACGTTAACGGTTAACAACAATGCCGTTGATTGCATCTTTAGCTTTAATATTTTAACGTTAACTCGTTAAATTGGGTGACCTACTTATTGTCGGTTAACAATGCTAAACTTTTTGGTTAACGGTGCCCACCACTGGAAATGTCCATTATGCCAAACGTTCATTATCACCGAAAAGTTCTTTTGCGAAACGTCTTTATGCAAAATTTCCAACCCCCAATATGGTCTGCCCACTGTTAAATGGTCATAACAGTCACACTCAGCTCGCTTCCAATTAAAATATTTAATTAAGATTTGATATTCGCATTATAATTGTTGTTGAAGCTATCTGTCTCAAACGCGCAAAACCCTCAGATTGACTTCCCTATTTTCCCACGCTCAATCCCATAATCTCTCAATTATCAACCTATCATTAATAATTGCGTGTAAAACACTATACAGTAGCACTTCGGAGCAGGCGTTATGTTCTAAACACCTTCCTATACAGATGCTTGCACTTCCGATAGCAATCAAATCACGCTCGAAAAAAAAAATGACCTGCAACTGTTATTAGCTATTGCGCCGTTATGGCAAAATGCACCCATTGCATGTCCGAATCATGTCGATCGCAAAGATCGCCAAGCCACCATTTAATTAACTCTCGATAACAAAGTATGCTCACACGCTCACGCATTCGTTCCCACCGCACCGCGCCACCTCCAGTTGGGTTTGGGAGGGGATTCAATAATGAAAACAAATAGCTTGTTCTCACATACAAACCGGTTCAAGGTCGATCGTGATTCTTGTGATTCTTGTTCCCTCCGAGCGCAAAAATTTGCTACGTCCCTTCTAGAATGAAGTGACGATGACTGCGATCAAACGGTTTCGTCTCTTTGAATCAACAAATTTCCGAAAACTAAAATCCCATCAATTATTTATGCTTTGTTTATTCTGACTGTTGTCTCTCTTCGTTGCCAGAGGAACGAGACTGATCACACCGAAAAAATTGCAATAATGATTTACGACCATGTCCATTTATTTTACTTAATCCGCACGATCGGGGTGACACCTTCGCCAACTCACTTCCTCGGAGTATTGATACTAAAAACGAGAAAGTACCGCGCCCAGCTGGTTGATGATCATTCATTCACACACCGCACAAGAGAGGGAGATCCTCTCAGCTGATTCCGAGTCACGAAGGATGTTAGTCAGCAAGCAAACCTTGATCCTCTCCGCAGCTTCGACTGTGGCGCAGTCAGTCGACAGTTAGCAGCATCGCGTAGTGGACGTTTAAATTCGCGATCGCACACAAAAGAACTTGCAAAAAGTTAACCGCAATCGTTGGGAACCGTGACTGCGAATTTTGCAACCACGCAGTGCACCCCCAAGTTCCACTCGATCGCGAATCGAGTTGGTCGATTGGTGGCAAGAAGAAATACTCATTCCTCTCTTGTGGAAGTGAATGTCGCCTCGCGATCAACAGCCACACCATGACGCGATCGATCTTCGTCGTCGTGGCTGTCGTTATCCTGCTGAAGGGTGATTGTGCACTTGCACGAGTCTACAAGAGGTGCGAGTTGGCACGTGAGCTGGCGCTTAAGCAGGTGCCGGAAGATCAAATCGGTGATTGGCTTTGTATTGCCGAGCATGGATCGCGGTTCAACAGTTCGGCCGTCAATCTCAAGTACAAACGGTTCGGTGGATCTGCGTACTATGGGATCTTCCAGATCAGTGATCTTTATGGTTGTCTAAAGAGTAGCTCGATATGTGGATTGACTTGTGCCGATTTGAAGGACGATGAAGTGGAAGATGACATCGATTGTATGAGGAGAATCTACGGCGAATACAGTCGAGAGATTGGGGATGGATTTGCTGCGTGGCCGGTGCATAAGACTCATTGTCGAAATCCGGCAAGTTACGTGCCATTCAAACAGTGCTTGAATGACGAGGTCATGCGGTTTCAGGCCTATTACAAGAAAAAGAAAGCGAAGGCGAAGAAGGTGGATTTTGAACCAAAAGCCGAAGTGAGTAAGGTTTACGAACGATGTGAACTAGCGGTTGAGCTGCGTGATAAGTATCAAATGCCGACAGATCAGGTTCCAACGTGGGTTTGCATAGCGTACCACGAGAGCCGCTTCAATACCTCTGCAGAAGGTCGGTTGAATGCGGATGGAAGCGGTGATCATGGCCTGTTCCAAATCAGCGATATCTACTGGTGCTCTACGACTAGTTCTCCGGGGAAGGCATGTGGTGTGACTTGCGAAGATATGCGCAACAGTGACATAAGTGACGACATCCGTTGCATTAAAACGATTTTCGACGAACATCGTAGAATCTCCGGAAACGGGTTCAACGCCTGGTCGGTCTTCAAACCTTACTGCCAAGGTAGAGAGGACAGTTTTGTGCACAACTGCTTCAACACAACGAAACCAACACCTGCGATCCTTCCACGGCCAGCCATAACGGCTCCAACTCCACCGAAGACCAAGTCTTCGATTACCACCATCGGAAAGGTCTATGATCGTTGTGAGTTAGCGAATGATCTTCTGCACAAGTTCAAATTCCCCAAAGATCAAGTGGCAACTTGGGTGTGCATTGCATACCACGAGAGTAGCTTCAACACATCGGCGGAAGGTCGTTTGAATGCCGATGGTAGTGGTGATCATGGGTTGTTTCAAATCAGTGACATCTACTGGTGCTCGCCTCCGGGAAATGGTTGGGCCTGTGGGGTGAGCTGTGATGATATGAAAGACAACGACATAACCGATGATGTGCAGTGCATTCGTAAGATTTATGATGAACATCAGAGGCTTTCAGGAGACGGCTTCAACGCTTGGTCAGTCTACAAACCGTACTGTCAGGGGAAATCGGAAAGCTACTCTAAGGGTTGCTTTGGATCGGATGATGATCGTGTGGTGACGGTTGCATTGCTCACTGCTCCTACTCGTATTCCTTCGAGGAAGACTGGAGCTACACGTGGCAAGGTATACACTCGGTGTGAACTTGCACGAGAATTGTACTACAAGCATCAGTTCTCGATCGACGACTCGGCCATCTGGACTTGTATCGCTCAGTACCAATCGAACTTCAATACCTCTGCCGTGGGCTATGCGGGTGGAGACGTACAGTACCATGGAATGTTTCAACTCAGTGACGAGTATTGGTGTTCGCCGCCAGGACGCGGATGGGTTTGTGGACTGCCATGTTCGGATCTGGAAGATGATGACATAACCGATGATCTTGCCTGTATGAATCATATTTACGAAGAACATCAGCGGATATCTGGTGATGGATTCAACGCGTGGACTGTGTATCAACCGTACTGTAAAGGCAAAGCGGATAGCATGATCAGAGGATGCTTAGATGAGGGAGAGAATGCGATCGTTCCTACTACGACGGCTCGTGTTCCGCACAGGAAGGAAAATGTTGGTGTTGGAAAGATCTATGAACGTTGTGAACTAGCCAGAGAGTTGTATTTTGTCCATAACCTGCCATACGAACAGATTGCTACATGGGTTTGCATAGCCCATCGCGAGTCAAATTATAACGTTTCTGCGATCGGTAGATTGAACGCCGATGGAAGCGGAGATCATGGATTGTTCCAAATTAGTGACATATATTGGTGTTCACCTCCTGGGAAAGGCTGGGTCTGCGGATTGACATGCTCAGATCTTGAGGACAATGATCTGAGCGACGATGTGGAGTGTATGAAGAAAATTTTTGAAGAACACACAAAACTTGCGGGTGATGGATTCACTGCTTGGGCTGTGTACAGGCCTTACTGCCAGGGAAGATCAGATCATTACATCAAGGGGTGCTTTGAAGAACCAACAACGACAACTACAGTTCCGACAACTACCACAACCACGACCCGTAGGACTTCAACAACTTCGAAACGATCAACCTATTCGTGGATCACGCCAACCACCACCAAAACTACATCTGCCTCAACAAGTAACAATTTTTGGACTACAACCACCAAAAGATCAACACTGCCTACGACGACAACGACTCGTTCAACTACCCTTCGCCCTTCGATTGGATCAATCAAGTCGACAACCAGCCTCTACGACTTCTACCTTAACCATTTCGGCCGTCCGAACACTACCCCTGCGTCATTCGCTGCCTTCACCAGCAGATCTACCAATTCTCCGAAAACTGCCATACCAACGATTGCTGCCCGTCCCACATCGTGGAAAAATGCATATGATCGCTTCACGACGCGGTCCACTGTCACCATTGCACCATCTGCCAGTACCACCAAGTATTCACGTTTTGATCAACTGTTTGATAACTTTAGGCATGGTTAAACAAATAAATAAACTTTTCTCATAAACAACAATGATTTGTTTCGATGCAATGCAAAAGCGAGAAACGTCCTTCACATTTTGATGAATCGTCAAAACAGCGGCGCCGGTGGTGTAGTGGTAAGCGTGATTACCTCTCACCCCAGCAGGCCTGAGTTCAATCCCAGTCGGCGCCGCCGGGATGTTCTGAGGCATAACATCTCTGATCACGCCTTCCTTCGGATGGGAAGTAAAGCCGTTGGTCCCCGGTTCATGAGTTGATGGGTCGATAGGTAGGGTCCAGGTGTGGGAGCTGCCTTCCTGGCGTCAGTAGCATTGGTGCTCAGCACGAAAACAAAATCGACGGAAAACAAATCAAGGAAAAAAAAAATCGTCAAAACAGGTAGTTGATCATTTTCATTGACGACAACGGAAGATCGGCCTTCACGATTGAAGTAGTGCGCGTTCAGCAAATCAATTACATCGATCGTTTAAGCGAGGATCGCCTAAGAGGGTCGTAAATCAAAACTAATAAAACGCTAATTTTATTGATCGCGTCTTACGCTTCTCTTTGCTACTTGCAGATGCCCCCGTCGTTCTAACGCATCCGCACATGATGGGTGCGGCCCAGGAGTACACCAGTCTAATTGATGGGCTACATCCCGATCCGGAGAAGCATCAGATCTTCGTTGACGTGGAACCGGTAGCTTTAATTGCCAATCGATCGCCGCTGTCAGTTATTTCAAGACCTTCAATCTTTCGTTTTAGCTCACCGGAACGCCTCTGAATGGAGGCAAACGAGTTCAGTTCAACATGTTCCTACGGAGAATCGACTCAATCCGACTGACTGATCGCCTGCAGACTACCCTGTTCCCGGTCCTGTGGATTGAGGAAGGCATCGCCCTAAACGAAGACATGGTCAAACTGATCGACGACAGTCTGATGAAGATTCTCACGCTGCTGGACATTGTCCAGTGGGTGATGATTGGGTCTGGCCTTGTGCTAGCGATCATCATGCCCATCGTGTACTTTACCAAACGGAGGCCATCGTCTGGATCTATCACGCCGAGCCTCACCACGACCACCAGTGCCGGCAGTATTTCCGACGGCGGCGTGCTCGGTGGGAACCCGCAAAAGTGACATTCACTGACGTTGACCTTTCTGGACTGATTAAACTTTGTCGGACTCGAGGGGGGATGGGAAAGTGCGAGGATGAGTGAGTGAGCGAGTGAAATAGAGAGTATCAAGTGCCAACACATGCTTAAGCAAAATGAAGCAACGCACGCGGTTCGCTTTTGTGCATTTTAGTGCAAACTAAGTCAATCCGATTCCGTCCATTTTAGAAATGAATCATGATTCTTTTTAATTCATACAGTAAAAGACAGGTTAAAATAGCTAATTTTATGTGATTTTTGTACATAAGTAAAATGTGTTACCATAAAAAAAAACTAAATGTGTTGTTTTTCTATTGATCCGAAATTCGATGCGTTAATAGCGCAGCGTAAACGTGTAAACCTTTGGGAATTCGTAAACTAAACTTTGGACATGGTTAATTAATACAGTCTTCAACCCACAGGTTGCACAGATCGAGCAAACAACACCCAGAAGACCAGTAGTAAAATTTATTTTAACCGAAAGTTTCGATGACTGAATTAGGGCTAAAACGGACTCCACCGCTTATATAAAATTTAAAAATTTCGGATGGAATGATTAATATTGATTTTTGGAGGCGAACCAGCCTCAGGCTGAAACTCCGACTCCGACTAATCTGATTTGAAACTAACCGACTCCGACTCCATTTCTTTCAAAGTAATAACAACTCCCAACGCAATTGAACGAAACTCTGGCGCAAGTTCGAAGGAAATTTATGCCAATTTTAAACATAACTAAACATAACATTTATAGAAAATGATCATATTCAAGTAAAAACATAGTGTAAACATAATTGGTCTTATATATTTTTCTATTATTAACTGAACCGAACTAACTTTTAATAAAAATATTCCAAACTGTTTATTTATTTACTTACTTACTTACTTACTTACTTACTTACTTACTTACTTACTTACTTACTTACTTACTTACTTACTTACTTACTTACTTACTTACTTACTTACTTACTTACTTACTTACTTACTTACTTACTTACTTACTTACTTACTTACTTACTTACTTACTTACTTACTTACTTACTTACTTACTTACTTACTTACTTACTTACTTACTTACTTACTTACTTACTTACTTACTTACTTACTTACTTACTTACTTACTTACTTACTTACTTACTTACTTACTTACTTACTTACTTACTTACTTACTTACTTACTTACTTACTTACTTACTTACTTACTTACTTACTTACTTACTTACTTACTTACTTACTTACTTACTTACTTACTTACTTACTTACTTACTTACTTACTTACTTACTTACTTACTTACTTACTTACTTACTTACTTACTTACTTACTTACTTACTTACTTACTTACTTACTTACTTACTTACTTACTTACTTACTTACTTACTTACTTACTTACTTACTTACTTACTTACTTACTTACTTACTTACTTACTTACTTACTTACTTACTTACTTACTTACTTACTTACTTACTTACTTACTTACTTACTTACTTACTTACTTACTTACTTACTTACTTACTTACTTACTTACTTACTTACTTACTTACTTACTTACTTACTTACTTACTTACTTACTTACTTACTTACTTACTTACTTACTTACTTACTTACTTACTTACTTACTTACTTACTTACTTACTTACTTACTTACTTACTTACTTACTTACTTACTTATTTATTTATTTATTTATTTATTTATTTATTTATTTATTTATTTATTTATTTATTTATTTATTTATTTATTTATTTATTTATTTATTTATTTATTTATTTATTTATTTATTTATTTATTTATTTATTTATTTATTTATTTATTTATTTATTTATTTATTTATTTATTTATTTATTTATTTATTTATTTATTTATTTATTTATTTATTTATTTATTTATTTATTTATTTATTTATTTATTTATTTATTTATTTATTTATTTATTTATTTATTTATTTATTTATTTATTTATTTATTTATTTATTTATTCATTTATTTATTTATTTATTTATTGATTTATTTATTTATTTTTATATTTATTTTTTTATTTAGTTATTTATTTATTTATTTATTTATTTATTTATTTATTTATTTATTTATTTATTTATTTATTTATTTATTTATTTATTATATAAAAATTTATATATATATTTAATAGGAAAACGTCAAAAAGAGTTTTGTGAGCAGAGATTTGTGATTCATTTAAAATGCTTCTAAACTAAATCTACAGTTGAAAAATTTAATTCTGTATCGTTTTTGCATAGATCCTGCTGGTGTTCAGGAATATTTTTGTTGAGAAAAATTGATAATTAGAAAAGTGCCTTAGTGGTTATGATCTTCCGGATTTCTTGTGTTATTCTGATGTAAACAAACGGTTTGGTTGACGTTTCTTTTCGAACTCGCGTGGCGCACTCTACGTTGGTGCTGCATTAAAAAGGCCTATTGATTCAATAACTTGTTTTATAAAAATTGTCTTGCTCCATTATTATATTTCATGGTATTGCTTCACAATATTGCTGAATAAAGGTGAATACAGTTAGCATAATAGCAAATAATATATTATATTAACAATATGATCCACTCTTTCGCTTAGCTGGCGAACCGAATTTTTAGCGATGGAAGCACCTCTGTGGACAAAAAGCCCGTAAAAAAAAGAACCATAGAGGCACAATGAAATGTATTGTAACCATACAATATAATTTGTTGTATTTACTATAAATCATATTGTCTACAACGATAAAATAATCACAGCATGTATTATTTTCACAATAGAATCTATGGTAAATGGGGAAATCTACAATGGAACAAGGGGGTTGTTATGTATCTTAACCATAGGAAAAATCACTTTTTCCCGAACAAAGATGAGCCATTTACCATTAATTGTATTGTTGTTCAATTGTTGAAAATTCTTACTATATAGGACGTATTGTTAATCTATTGTAACAACAATATGTTAAAATTTCTTGTACAATAGACGTATAATAAGATTTATTTTTGGCAATAGATTTTGATGTAATTGTATTTTATGTTATGGTAATTGTAAGGTTATTTTTTTCCGGGAGGCTACCAATGTATTTGTTTATCGTCACGAGGGGTAATCCAAATGATTTTTTTTTTTAATATTTCAAATGAATGTATTTCAGCATTTTATTTTATGTGATGACAACAGTGACATGTCAGACAAATTTTAAAGTAATATTCACAATGTAATTAATGAAAATAATTTGACTCTTACTTTTGTAATAAGTGCTATATTCGCACCCCTCGATTGTAAGTGAATGATTGTTGCTAACCTTTTTCAACGCTAGATGGTGCGTGAAGCAATATTTTGTGGGTTGCCAATGTAACATTTGGAAAAGACATGAATGGATCATATTGTTAATATGATATATTTGATAATAGCTCTTTATCAACAACACTGGTTCAGTCTAGAGTCGGTGTATAATGAGTCACGCCAAGAGAAAAACAGTTGAACTCGCATCACGGTTTTGGGAAGATTCCCATTCTTTTCACTTGGCAACAGAGGACTTCTACAACAACTTCAAATGACTTCTAGCGAGAGAAAAAATATTGCGACTGTAGTAAATCATTATATCAGTGATTTTGTCAAATTATCTTAACAAAAAATAGTAGAAATTCTCATTACTAATCATTACCGAGCGTATCCCATGACAATTTAACGCTCACTGCGTGTTTATGCTCATTTCTTCGATTATATTTTATATTTTATTGCAATACCTTTCGTGGACCTTTCATAGCATCGTAATGTTTATTTACTTTGCACGATAGGTAGCCGGTTTGACAGTTCAATAGGTAGACTTGGCTTCACTCTTGGCGTGACTCATTATACACCGACTCTAGTTCAGGCCAACAACAAAACGAAATCAATCCCTTTTTTTTTTGGTCTACGACTAATTAATTTAAATCGTAATCCCGGAGAACTTTGAGATGTGGGCGTAATTGCTTTTGTAAACAAACACGTCAATAGCGAATAAAAGCTCAATCTCCCGAACAAACTATACCAATTGAGAGGAAATATTCATATACTTGATTGTGCTATTAGTTTTCGAGATTGAGCTTTTATTCGCGAGAAATCGGCAATTGACGTGTTTGGTTACAAAACGAATTACGCCCTAATCTCGAAGTTCTCTGGAATTATCGCCCACATCATTCACGACAACGAATTCATTGATCAAGTTTAAAAAACAACCCAGTGTTGGCAAATCAAAGTTGGCACTCGTGGAGAATAGAAGAACTATGAAAGTGATGATTATTTCAAAAATTTTCACGGGGAGGTATACGAGTGCAATGTTAAATTGTTTTTGTTTTTGCAAATGGAGCATTTCAGTGCTAACATTTGAAAACGGCACAAAAGCCATTTGTAAACAAATGGTTTGTGGGCCCTTTACTCACTACTTGAAGTACACCCACGCGACACAACAGCAACATCGGGTAGGGGAAATTTTCCCCTTCCTGACGATGCTGTTGGTTTGCGTGGGCGTTCTTCGGGTAGCGAGTAAAGGGCCCACAAACCATTTGTTTACAAATGGCTTTTGCGCCGTTTTCAAATGTTAGCACTGATTTTATCATGAAATCATCATCACTTTCATAGTTTTTCTATTCTCCACGAGTGCCAACTTTGATTTGCCAATCCTTCCTTAGAAATTGGAGAGGTGAAGAGGTAAAATTTATCTTTCCCATTCGTGGCACAGACCTAATTGGTCCATATTTATAAATTTATCTTATTTAAAACAACGATAAATGAATTTTTTTTCCAGTTCTCACAGGACCTTGAAAAAGCTAGAGTTGCGGTCGGGAGTTCTGATGGGTATTCAGTTGCATGCAAGCCTTTATTGATTATTGCGCTCTCATATGAAGTATTCTAGTACAGCAAAAAAAATATGATCGGGTAAGCTCTGTTACACAAGTCATATAAGTCAAATAAAAGCTTCTCGACATGCCTTATACAACACCAAGTAGTTCTATGTTGTGGTTGAATAAATTCTCCATATTTGTGTGAACAAAGCCTGAGCAGAAGTTGTTATTAAAAATAGTACAAGTATTATTAAGCATGCCGTTGAAGAAAACCGTCAAGAAGTCGTTTCTTTAATAGGCTTGAGCACATAACCGTTTCATGTTGTGTTTGTCCTATTGGATGCTAAATTCTTCTGTGTGCTGAAAATACCTTGAAATGTCTATACATGGCCGTGAGGATACAAAGAGAAAGTCGACGAAGAAAATCTGTCAATGTTACTTAGGACCTAATGCATTGCTCCGCTTGAAAATTTGTCAGCGACCCTGGCATCGAGTAGTGGTAATGTTATTCAATTGCATAGTAAATCTGGCAGCACTGCGTCGCGCTCTAAATTTTCGAAGATAAAAAAAAAATATATGAATGTGTTCGTGTCCTCTGATGTTATTTTTCTTCTCACCCTTGTCATTCAACAAGAAACGTCGACGACGCGCTCTTCTACTATCAGTGAGCTGATCTCACCACCCTTCTCATTCTGTTTTCAGTTCAGTCCAGTTTATTACCAGAGAGGGACACACACACTACACAAAGTACAGCTAGCTAACCAGCCATCATCGTTCGGCTCGACGTCGACTCTGCTTGCTCTGTGCTGAACTAAAGTTGGCTGGAAGAAGAGCTCTCATTTTTCTGCGTTCTGTCATCGCGTCGCGCTGGAACAAGAGGAAAAAAGTTACAGACGAACGAAAGATCTTTTTCCAAACGCGAGTTTTGTGCATAGTTTCAGTATTTTTCGCCCGCTACGCTAGGCTTGTGACCGTAGATCCGGAAACAAGAAAAATACGGATCCGCGATCAGTGCAGTCGGTGTCTGCTGTGTGGAGAATCCGCCCCAAGCCACTTGCGTGGGGCTGAAAGTTTCGAAGGGAAAATTTTCGCTGCGAAAGGTGTGTAACATTCGCCGGAAGTGGTGTCCTCGAAACGAAGTGCGATGTGCGGTGATCCGGGAGCCTTGAGCTCCAGTGATGCCGTCGGAGTGTTCTGGCTAAATCGAGGCCAACGCGAGAAGCTTCCAATAAGGATTGTGGGGGAGCTTTTTCGCACTAGAATCGAAGGAGGTGCCATTTTTGCTGCTTCTCGTAGCAGTCGCCGTCGTCGTCGTCGTCGTTGTCAGCCTCTTTTACACAAGGTGCGGAGTAAGAAAAAAGTGTTCGTGGTTTTTTTTTACGCTGTGAAACCGGAACCGGAAGAAAGATCTTTATCACAAAGTGAATGGGATTGCAAATGCAAGGTGTAATGCAAAATGCCTATCCGTTGTGCAAGGATTTTTTTTATCTGAAGCGGGGAAAAAAATGGAAAATCGATCCTGAAGAATATGAGCCTCCTTCTCTCCGCCTACCACCGGTGTGTAAAAAGTGATGCTCTTCGCGGTGTTCCAATTGGAAGGTTTTTAGCGGAAAATATGAATAATTTTCTCGTAGAAACATATGCAAACCAACTTGATTATTACTTACCATATTCTCCATAATGGTATAGCTGTTCCATATGATATGGGACTAATAAGATTATGGATTGAAGACTTTGTTTGAGAGATTTGTTTCATCGACGTAGTATACGGACTGGGATTTAGCATTCTGACAAGCATTTTATTTACTTGTACAATCTACAGCTTTGATCAAAACAAATACAGGTCGAACAGAATAATAAAAAGCGGTGTCTTTTGGCCACATGAACGGACCGATATGGTTTCCGAACTTCTTTAAAATCATTTCATAGATCATTGACTTAATATAAATTAATTTAAAAAAATATCCGGCCTACAACTTTTAGTCATTTCCATAAAACCATCCCAAAAACAACTCAACAAAAATTTGAACCCTTTTGACTGATGTTGTAACTACATCAATATCTTAAAAGATTGGTCATAAAGGCTGTATCAAGATCAAGCTTGATGAACATTTTAAACATATTGAGGGTATATCTGCCAAAGTAGAACTCAACGCGTATGAATTATAGTCGCTATATTCATAGTCTGGCGGATAGAATCTCGGGAACAAATTGAGCTGTCAAATAGCGGAACCAATCGAGCAAATCATGACCAACATCAGAATAGAGCACATCAGCTATTGTGAACAAAACTTCGGAAACCCTTTTCTCGTGGCTCGCCTACGCAAACTAACACAAACTATTTTTGGGTTGGGGAAAGTTTCCCCTATCCGATGATGACAGTAATTTGCGTTCGATTGGCGAGGAAAAAAATATCTACGTTTTGTTTATAAAAATTGATAGTACCTTTTCAATTGTTGGTGTACAGTATATTGAATTGGTTCCGCTTTTTGATAGATCGAAATATAGCGAGTATAGTATGAATAAATTTTCCATTGTTCATGACATGTTTAGGATCTTGCCAAATGTTGATCAGTTCCCCGGGGACACTCCGATTCCGAGCTATTAAGCACGGCCGAGTAATCAATGGGATCCTCGTTCGCAATATGACATCCACTGGTTATATTTTTGAAAATAGAATGTTTACCATTTTGGAATACCGTGGATTCCCAGTAATCTCACCCTTTTTCGATCTGATCACTTTGTAATTCGATTCCTGCTAATCTGTACGCTGTGCAAATCAATAATTGCTCAAACGTCATTCAGCACATGGAATGGAGTAAAGCGAAATGGATAAGCAATTCATCTCCGTATTAAGGTAGTGGAATTAAATGGAAATGGAGCCCTCTCTTTCTTTATATTGAACTGTTTTTAACCGTCTTAGTTTAATATCAGTTGAATGTTATAATATAGCAATGAAAATTAAATAAAAATGATAAGTTTAAATTTTATCAATTGTAGAAATATTTTCTTAAAAAAATATCTGGATCGTGTAATTTTTCTACACCCGAGAATTGGATTTCAGATATCAGATTGTTATTCCAATTTCTGAAAATTATCTAAGGTGGTCTGGATTATTTAAGCTCTTGTGAAAATTTTCCCCTACCTGCTAGTGGTGTTAGTAAGCGTGTACGAGCTACCAGCTACGCCAAATCGACGATCAAAAACATAGTTTACAAAAGCTGGTAATTCCCTTCGAAAAAGTAATCGAGATTTGTTGATCACATTGCCAAAATTCATGTGTGGAAAACATCCAAAAAATCTTTTAATTTTTCTTAGTATGACAAAACAGGTTTTCTCAGATGTAAACTAAAGAGCCTAAATTTATAAAGAGGCGACATGTCAAAATTGGAACAATCGATTGTCCGTCAGAGTCATAGGAAAAGTCATTCCAATCGAGCAGAAGACCTTTCAAATGGATAAGATGTCGTCTCTTTATAAATTCAGGCTCTTTAATGTAAACATGTGATCAGATTGAAGCGAAAATACTAAGGAATCGTTTAAATACATTCAGTGAAGTGTTTTGGTCAGAAAATACAGCGATTAATGTTTAAATTTTGGTTGCCGAATATAGTCAATGGGTAACGAAGTCATCATTTACCGAGATCGGGAGGAATTTCAGAATTTTGCAGCTATATTGATCAACATTTAATCTTCGGATATCAAAGTTTTTAATATCATTCGTTGATTTCAGATAATTTAATTGCTCAGCTAGTACTTGTTAGAACAAAACACTCTTAGGCATACTTCAATCCCACGTATAGGTCAATTTAATTAGTAATAACACAGCAATCAAATGACCAATTGTTTTTATCCAATAATTGGGTTCTTTAGGGATATTGAGGTAAATCAAGCGAACTATTCAAATCGACGTATCTGCTTTTGTAAGCAATCTCTTCAATCGACGATTTGTCTTAACTGCTAACTCACCCACGCAACAAACACCATCATCATGTAGCGGAATCTTTCGCCTACGAGCTGGAGTTGTTAGTTTCTGTGAGTGAGCTTGCAGTTGTTACAAATCGTCGATTGAAGTTATTGTTTACCAAATCAGATACGTCGATTTGAATAGCTACGCTTGAAATGTATATTCGTAATCTGCATTAACAATGGAATCGAAATCGAAAATTTTATAAACATTGGTGCACTGGAACTATTTTAAATAAATGCGATTACATCAACAAAAATTCTAATCATTGCGCCTCTCGATGGAACTCAGGGCTGGTAGCAGGTCACTTTTTAGTGACTTGGTCACTATTTTCAAGTCCGTCACTAAAAAATCACTTTTCTCATCAAAAAGTCACTAAAGTCACTATTCCTTAAAATTTAGTCACTAAAGTCACTTTTTACGACCAATGTTGAGAGTAAATTATTTGACTCTAAACACTCTGAGTATAGTCTGACAAGAAGAGTTGCGAACAAATGGAAACGTTTACTTTTCACGAAATCTAATATTTTATCTATTTTTATCTTGAAATTGTCATAGACCTATCATAAATTTTCAGAGATTTCTAAAAAAACTCTAGACTCAATATTCTGGCGGGTTTACATGGAGATCTTAAGTTATCCAAGCCTACACTGCCACAAAAAGTAACGTAAAATTCAACGGAATAGGCACGTACATGTTTTCCATCATACATTTCAGGTGAATATTACGTATTTTGGGGGAGAGATTACATTTGAGTGATTCACATAGAAATCAATTGATTTTCACGAAAATTTTATCGGACTTTCCGACAATCTTCAAATTGGCCTCACTTAAAAGCTACGGGAATTATCAAGTAGATGTTACTGGTTTTTGTAGCAATGATAAAGTGAATTGGTGATAGACTATAGACATATATTTTGATTTATTTGAGTCATTAAATTATTGCATTCTAGAACAATTGAAATTCATTCATTTTCTGCAATTTTATTTTTAATTTATAAATAAGTTTTAATTTAAAAAAAAAAATTATAAAACTTACGCTTGAAAACATGAAGTAGCCGATTACGACGAGAAAATTTTCGTATCATGAAATCACGGAAAACATAAGTGAATTTCACTTAGCCTTCACCAGCATGACATTACCTTTCTCGTTGGTACAATGTATAACAAGCACTTAACATTTGTTCAAAGGTCAGAAATTTGCATAAACTTTGACCCCCGGTAGCTTTAGTATCCGTCCAAACATTGAGAGAAAAAAATCATGTCACAGATCTTTGAGTTCCTTTAAAAGTCCATTAAATTTTATTGTATATTATCCATACAAATAATCCGATAATATAAAAACAAAAATTCCAAGTCCATGTCTTAGATTTTTTTTTAAACTCTAAAATGTATTCCTAAAACTCTATTTTTTCACGATCGAAATTTTAAGTCTATATGAGATTTTTTCTTAAACTGCGATCTAGAAAAGTTGTCCCAGAGTTATGATTCTTTTTCTATGGTTGAGGTTTTTTTTTTTTCCTCTGTTCGGGACATAAAACTACTGCGACCAGTAATTTGATCTTTTGTAGTATATCCCGTGTCCTTAGTTTAGTGCATGTCGTATTACTTCATCACTATTGAAAAATGATGAAGTATTCGGTTTTGATACAGTTGTCATTCTTGCCTTCATCGCAAGGAATCGATTCTAATTGAAAGGTTCCGCTATTTATACCCTTCGGAGTGTTGGAACACCCTCCAAAGGCGCGCTCCTTTGTCAGTCAACATTGGATTCCTTAGCAACAAAATTAAGGAATGACACCGATAGTGACCATGCATCAGAACCCTAGTCTTAACCACTTCAAACTAGGGAACAACGAATAGAAGATTAGGAATCACATAGATGAAGACTAACTAACTCATTTTTCCTTGTTTCAAGATCATCCTCGGTCCAGGCAACCCGAGGACTTATCACTATCAACAAGGCATAAAAAGTAACAAGGACTAAGATGTGTTCCTTTGATTACTGAAAAATCCTGTTCCCCTAGTTTGAAGTAGTCAAGACTAGGAATCGGTGGTAGATCTTACATCCCGTAACGTACCACGAAAAGGTGATCTACCCACGTTACGGGGCTGGTTGAGGTTTTACAGAACTTTCTACTCTTGGAAGGAATGGAGCAGAGTAAACAGATGACCAGTTCATTATAGCGACTACAAAGAAGAGAAGAATCTTTTATTAATATACTCATGGCTAACTTATATCTATGTACATTTAATTCTAGACAGCAGTTCTTCATGTTGCTAAATGCATCGCTTCATATATATCCTATATCTACAAAAATTGCTGTCTAAAATCGGTACTTTGAACGTTTTTCTCTGTGCCTCTATTTCGCGATCTAATAACAAATTCGTGATCTGCAATGTGAGGAAATGGAGGTTAAAATTGGAACGTGCTCTTGCTTATTCAATTCATATTTATGTTTCGATAGCAAATTTATGTGATCCTTATCATTTGTGATATTTTTAAAAAGCATGAAAAATGCCGGAACTACGAATGATTGGAACCATATCTTTCCGATCAATAAATGTCACTATTGGTCACTTTATTTTTATTTAAAAGTCACTATTTGGTCACTATTTTCGTAATTTTAATCACTAAAGTCACTACTATTACATCATATACCCACTACCAGCCTTGGGAACTTTGTATGGGAATGAGCTGTCAATTTGTTAGTTAAGTGTCAAAAAGCGAAGTTATAAATTCGTAGAAATGAAAGTCGATGGACGGTACTAATGGATATTTTTGGTCGCTATTGAAAATTTAGTCGATTGCTGAATTTATGTATGGGCCTAAATTAGGAACATGTAGGCCGACATTACCTACATTCCCCCTATTCTTCAAAATTAAAGAACGCCATTAACTCTCAACCTCGACGTCTGATACTGAAAAATGCTAAAATTATCGTAACTCCGTTATCTCTGAATATATTTTGTATATATCCATCTCAAAATAACCGCACACTCCTCTAATTTTGAAAATTGAATTGCGAAAAAAAAAATTATTCGGAAATATAAATATATTTTGAATTGAAATGGGCTAGTTAGGGTGATAATTTATGAAGTAATTATTGAATTGCTCATTTTTTTTTGTCTTCTATATCATTATTTCGTTTTCCATCAACGTAGAATAAACATATTCATTTAATGTTGATTCCTGATTTATCAATATAAAATCGCGTCAAACATACCTACGTTTAATTTTCTCTTTCAAAACCTATCATTGGAACACCGTGCGCCTGTCTAACTAGGTTTCTGAAGCAGAGCTGTGGAGAAGAACAAGCGAACTTTGTTTGGAAAAGTATGCAACCCGAATGTATAAATCCCGTGGAAGAGTGATAATTTGTTGGAAGTTATTCGTAAGAATCGACAGTAAAACGTTATATTCTACTACAAAACGACTAACTTCAGAGAGAGGTAGTTTTTTTTCGTCTGACGTGTGTATCCCATGGCTGTTGGGTGCGAGAAATCGATTGATTTTCGTGTGCTTTTTCTCGCCGCTTGATACGTTTTTTATACTTTTTGCATCTACCTACCCACCGTATTATACCATCATAGATAGAGCAGCGTTGCTGGGCTGACAACGAATAGCAATGTGATGAGAACGACGACAACGATGCGATGACGACGGCGACGATGAAGCATAGCCAAAAGGTACCTCTCTAGAAGAGTTCGTAGCCAACTGCAAGTGAATGTGTATGTGTGTGCGTTTGGTGTTGAATGCCTTTTTCTCCAAATCGGACGACGTTGTTTCGGGTGTTATTTTCTTCTTTTTGCGACGCGCTTTCCTTTCGCTCCATGCCGACAGGAGAAACACCATGAATATCGGCAATATCGCACACATTCCCTCATAAATGAATAGTAACTGCGTTCACAACTACCAGTGTGTGGTGGATTTTACAGTAGGGGTCGTATCGGTTGTGTTGTTGAAATAGATTGGAAATTAACCATTTAGTCAAGCTTCTGGATTCATGTTCCATCAGATGCCACTGCTGTTGTTTGTGGTGGCATCTATAGGAAATTACGCATAAACTGTTTCCGTTAATTTTTCACAGATGGCAGTGCAGTCAAAAGATCTATAAATCCTATTCATAGACGACACAATAGAGTACCTGACACTAATAAACATCTATATATGCATTTAGATTCACAAGTTCCTCTTTTTTCAGTGCGAAAAAATAAAAGGATTTCCCACCGTTTTTATTATTATTATTAGGCGCGGCTTAAAAAGTATCTTGTACCGAGAGTATGCAAAAAAATGAGGCACTTCGGATGTTAATCTAAATGCATAGAGAAGGGTACCAAAAACTGTTTCAGTGCCAGGTACTCTATTCTGAAGTCTATGAGAGGGAAATCACAAATCATGTGTCATCAAAATACATGGTACGAGGATAGATTAAGCTCGCGAGAGAGAATTTTCTGTCTCAAATTTGAATTTTTGGGCTGTCTAATAATAATTTCCAGGAAAAAAAAAATTAACGGGGATGTCCGTGAATGATTTCTTTAGTTTGTCGTTAACTTTGTATGATATGAATATGCGTCAAAAGCGTATTATTTCCACTTTTATAAATTCTATAATTATGGTGATTTTTACTTCTTATTACCAATGGAACAGCGCCCTCTGTGTGAAAAATAGCCTTAACTAAATGGTTCATTTTCTTAGCATATCTTTTTTGTTAGTATTTTAAAACGTGAAAATCGGGTGTACACAATATTCCTCGAAGATATTTATAAGTATAGACTTATTCTACTAGGCTTTCGTTTTGGTTGCAATAAACTACAAATTACCATCGTAGTACCCCTCGATCGTTTGTTGACTCCAGAAAAACGGAGTGCATCAGAAAAAAAGAAGCAAAACTATGCATTGGTGTGAGTGAAGACCGTCGGGAGTACCGCTGCACGAGTGGGAGAGAGCTCAGAGAAGAGGATTTTTGAATGGCTCTTCACATTCGCAGCTCAGTTCAGGATCGCATTCGCGTGTGAATAAAGAAGAAAAGGGAAAAAAATCGCATGTGTAAAAAAGAGATGGAAAATATGGTTGATTTTTCCGATCGTTATTTCGTGCTGGTGTGCGTGTGCCAACTTTCTCACTGTTCACCGCACCAATGAGGGGGTGTAGGTGGGACTGTCATCTGTGAGTTTTACTGATGTCGTCAGCCTGAAAGAAATTCGATTCGAACTTGTGATTACCGAGTCTTGCTCTTGAATTCTCAATCGGTCATCGGGGGAACAGTGTTGCTAGTTTTTTTCGAGTTGCTTCATTTTTATTCGCTGCGAAAAAATCGATGATGAAGAGTTTAAATAATTTATATCGAATTAATATCAATTTATTACCTATCAACTCTTCAAAGACTGCTTCCTTGAATACCTTATGTTGCAGTGCATGAGAATGGAATGAAAGCTTGAACATTTTAGGATGAGCAATATTTTACTTCCAACCCTGTTTCAATGTTCGAATATTTTCTAGTGAACGCTCCGTGGCGCTATCGTCGAATGCCGAGAAGAAAATAAACGCTTGTCAGTGAATCCGAAACCCCAATGATTAATCGAGTAAAATCAGTGTTTAGTGTAGAAATTTCTGTACGATTTACAAAATGAAACAATCCTCCTGATTACTGCTGTGCAGTTGTCTCATTCCGATTGTATATAGTATCGGTTTACCAGTATTTCCTCGCTTTCCCGCCGATAAACATCCGAGTTCGAAAAGTAGCGGAATGACAGCACTGACAGGTCGGCCACCGTTGACAAGCCCGTTCAGGCAGCGCAACTGCGTTCGAACAAAAATGGGCAGTGTCACTTCGACAGAAAATGGCGTCTGCCAACTTTTTGGAGGAAGCTCTTAAATCAGATGTCGATGAATCCGCGGTGAGTGCGATCGTCGGAACTCTAGAAAATCAGTTGGACCAATCCAGTACGACCCAGGTGCAACAAGTCGCGAAAAATTTCGAGTGCGGAAACGGTGGAAACAGTTTAAATAGTGCAATTGTGTCAAATGGAAGAACGACCCCCATTTATAGTGCAGTGCAACAGCAACAGCAGCAGCAGAAACACAGTAATCATGGTGTTACCAATGGTGAAATTGTATCCAATGTTATGAACAGCAACAGCACCAACAACAACAACAATAATAACAGTAAAACATTTATCATTGCCACTAGTGGCGGCCAGAACGTAATCAACAGTGCAAGTTCTGGCGGTGCTACGACTGTGGTTCTCGGGAAGAATATTACGGTTTCAAGCAGTACAGGAATTCAGCCGTCATCGACGCCTCCCGCGTTGGTGTCCTCATCATCCGGAATCAACATTATCAGCAATCAGATTGTTGTTTCTGCCGGTGGCCAGCATCCGCCACCGTTCCACGTTACAAACAGTATCAGTCACATCCACAACAACAACAACAACAATCTCCAGCACCAGTCGAACATGCCAAAGAATGAACCAGTAAAGTTGGTGTATCCTGCTCACGGTGGTGGCGGCGCCGGAACACCGAATGCCGGTACTCAGGCGGTGCTCAACATGAACAACAATCGAGTAACGCTCACCTCTACGGCACTGCCGAACGGGACCATCTCCCTGACGCAGGCCCCGCAGCTGATTCAAACCGGTGCGGGGACGGGGAAAACCACCATTCAGGCTACAACGGGCGGCCAGCCGGGTGGGCCTGGTCAGCAGCAAACGCTTATCATCAAGAATCAACAAACCGGTGCCGTGATGAACTCCGGTGCGCCCGGCATCGTCACGATGTCGAAACCGATGAACAATCAGGTAACCATTTTCAAAGTCAGGTTAGCCCCATGTATCCTTAATAAATGCACACCTTGATATTTGAACACCCCCTCCCCCTCCTTCCCTGTACACACTCTCACCTGGAGAAGGATTAATAATAATATTTTTTTTTGATTAAATACACTAAACAACACTTCACTTACAGCAACACAGAGCGTACGGAAGTTTTTGGTTCGCTTGCTGATAGAGATGGCTACTAAACAAAAATAGCTAGCATCGTGCAGCTTTCGTTGTATATAGTGTAATCTGCACCTATGATCTTGTTCTTAGCTTGGATACTTTTGGTAAAAGTGTGTTTTATAGTAGCATATGGTGAACGGCGTGGTTTACTGCAGGGGTTTTTTTTCGGTAAATTTATTTTACTGCGTTATGGTTAAGAAAAATTAGTTGCTCTGATGTATGCAGGATATATTTTTTTCCATCCCGTAGTGGTTGGTCTTCAATTCCTTTAATAGCTGAGAAGAAATTCAGGTCAATATATTAGGGCATTCCGGAGATATCGGGTTTTAATCTTCAAGCACTTCAAGTAAGGTGGGGCAAGATGGGTCAGCTGGTACATTTATTAATTTGTTTGTTTGGCAAAATCAACAGGTTCAATGCAACTTCAATGATGATTTGCTTTTTGAAGCCAGCATTGGGGCTACATTTAGCCTGTTGACGTTGACAATAAAATAAAAATCAAGTAGATGAATCATCTTGCCTCACCTTACCCTACATGTGAAAATCGAAACTCAACTGAACGTTTTCTGGGATTTGATTTTTTACGGTTGCAAATCAAAATTATCATGCAATTTTTGGAGTTGCTTTAAACTGATAATTTATTAGCTAGAGAATGATCTTTAAAAGAGGGTAGATAATTACCGTAGAATTCTGATCAGAATGATCATGACATTCTTGTTAAACCTAACAGAAAACACTTCTCGTAAAACCTTGAAATTCCCTTGAAACTATCCTGAGTATGCGAGTCCTTTGAAATTCTTATCAATTTTTTTTTTGGACTCTAGTTAAAACTCTCCCCAGAAATCCATCGGAAGTCTCTTCAGAAATCCCTTGAAATTCTCCTCAGAAATCCCTTAGAATTTTCTGATAAATTTACTAAGAATTATTTTAAATTTTCCACCATTTTTGCATACTCTTTGAATGCTCGTGAGAATTCTCACGGGCTTCTCATCAAAATGAACCTGCTGTTCTCCTATAGATCCCCATACAATTCCCATAAGAATATCCTTGATTTTTTTCTAAATGTTCTCCTTACAACTTCCTTTGAATTATTTTTAGAATAAGAGTGTTCAATTCAGAACTTAAATTTTCATGCTCCATAGAGATTCCTTTAAATTCATCTCAGTATTCATATCTCGACCAACAATTGAAAAGGGCCTTTATGCTTTTGCAAACATAATTGTGTAAGGCCTTTCCTCGCAAGTCGAAGGCCTCCCACACAAATCAGAAGTTTCCCCTACCCGATGATACTGTTGGTTTGCGTTGTAGAACTACGCTTTGCAACGAAAGGGCTTACACAGTTTTGTTTACAATAGCTAGTTGGCCCTTTTCAATTATTGATTGTAATTATTATGTTTGGAATTTCTGAATTATGTTGGAAGTCCATAGGTAGACTTCTTTGAAATATTCTTTAAATTGTTTAGCAGTTTTCTCTGTTTCAAATTGCTGAAAAATGTACAACAAAAAATGTATAAGTCTCAAAATTTCGAAAAAATAGAAAGTTTCTTAAATCCTATATTTAAAAAAAAATCGTTTAGGTACAGCCTACGGACTGTTAAAACGTTTTCTTGCTCCGAGATTTTCAACAATTTTGCCTAGATCTCATTTGAATAAAGTTCAAGATTTCTCAAACAATTTCTTAATTCAATCTCTCATTCTTCACAACGCAACATCTTCCGTTCAAAAACACCAACACCTCTACGAGCACAGTCCAGGTCTTGTGGCGTTAGAGGATGTAGATAGTCAACTTCGTGCGGCGGCAAATTTTATTCTTCCGGAGATCAAAGTAGGCATGATTCCCTGCCATAATGCGTCTTTGAATTTTTCTGCTGGTCTCATTCTCGGTGGTCACCAGTGAGCCCAAATACCCGAACTCGTCAACCATCTCGATTTCGTAACCGTCATTCTGAACCCCGGGTGAGAGGCTAACAATGTCTTCCCTAGAACCTCTTCCTCACATGTATTTCGTCTTCGATGCGTCCAATCCGCCTAGCTTCAGCCTTCAGTTTGACTCTGATGTACGTTCCCGCCATCGTTTCAAAGTTCCGTGCCATGATGTTGATGTCATCGGCGAAGCCAAGAAACTGGATGGAATTCCTGAAGATTGTGCCACTCGTGTCTATCCAGCTTTTCTGATCACACCTTCTAACGCGATGTTAAACCGTCTCGGTCTTCCTGCTGACGCTTCTTCCTTCGGAAAACCGAGTTTTGTCTCGTGCGGTGTTGCAGCATTCTCGCCCGTGCAGCATTCTTCTCCTCTACTAACAGTTTGAATTCGCCGTCAAACCAGTCATTTCTTCGGTCCGAGATTGCAGTACCTAGTGCCGATGCAGAAGTACTACCTATGGCGGAACAGATATCCCTCCAGCCATCTTCAAGAGAAGCTGTGTCAAGCTGCTCTTCCGTGGGTAATGCAACTTCCAGCTGCTGCGCGTAGTCCTGGGCAACTCCGGCATCCCGTAGTTGCTCAATGTTGGGTCGCGGCGTTCGACTTCGACGTGTGTTATGCACCGTCGAGAGTTTTGAGCGCATGCATACTGCAACTAGGTAGTGGTCCGATTCTATGTTCGCACTGCGGTACGTGCGGACGTTGATAATGTCGGAGAAGAATGTCCCGTCGATTAGAACGTGATCGATTTGGTTTTATGTGTGTTGGTCAGGTGATCTCGAGGTGGATTTGTGGATATCCTTGTGGGGGAAAAAGGTACTTCGAACTACCATTCCTCGAGAGGCTGCAAAGTTAACGCATCGTTGGCCGTTGTCGTTCGATACGGCATGCAGGCTGTTTGGCCCGATTGCCGGTCTATACATTGCCTCCCGTCCTACCTGAGCGTTCATGTCGCCGATGACGATTTTGACGTCCCGTTGCGAACAGCCGTCGTACACCTGCTCCAGCTGCGCATAGAACGCTTCTTTCTCGTCGTCGGGTCTCCCTCACGCATTGGCGCATCTTACCCAGCACTACAAAGCCGGTTCCCAGCTCGTTGGTGGTGCCACAGCTCTGGTAGAAAGTAGCCGCTCGATGCCCGCTTTTCCATACCTTTTGTCCCGTCCAGCAAAGTTCCTGCAGTGCTACGACTTCGAAGTTGCGTGGTTGAAGTTCGTCATAGATTAACCTATCGCAACCCGGGAAGCCGAGCGATTTGCAGTTCCATGTTCCGAGTTTCCAATCGTAGTCCTTATTTCGTCGCGTAGGTCTGTGCCGATTGTTCCGATCCGTATTTCTTTCTTCGGTATTTGCAACTTTATGTTTTTTTCCAGGGCGGCTTGTTGGCTGTCTCGCCAAGGGACATCTTGCATAGCTCTGTTTAGAGTCCCATCAGCCGCTCCTAACATGGAGAACGTTTTGAGCCACACCTCTATGGTGAACAGACGCTCGGGTTTGGTGAAGCATTTCCTCTATCACCGTACTAGGGCTACCGTGCCAGTGTTCGCGTCGCACCTCTTCACTTTGCTATTGCCGGACTGGCAACATTGCCCAGGCTACGCCACCCAGCTGTGTCCATGTTTTAGCTGGTAGTCTTTTGTTATCATATAACTCGGGGAGGCGTGAAGGAGGAACTTGTGAGCACCAGAGCTAGGTATTCCGTTCCTTCCAGGTTGTCAACTCACCATTTTGTAGCCCACTTGTTTAAATCCGGGTACTTTGTATAAATAAGACCCTATTTCCTCTAGGTTCTAACATAGACCTTATCAAAATATTGTTACACGGCAAAGTTCGAATGGTAAGAAACGTCATTTGAAACTGCCCGAATTATGTGATCCATTGAATCGTGTAATAGAACAGAGCATTGTGACTGAAAAGTTTCACTGCATTTTAACTAAAGGATTTAGAAAAAGGTCTTCAAGTATGGTTCCTAAAGACTTCTTTCTAAATTCAAAAAGGCTATGAAAGAACTAAGCGGCGCCGGTGGTGTAGTGGTAAGCGTGATTACCTCTCACCCAGCAGGCCTGGGTTCAATCCCAGTCTGAGGCATAACATCTCTGATCACGTCTTCCTTCGGAAGGGAAGTAAAGCCGTTGGTTCCCGGTTCATAAGTTGATGCATCGACATGTAGGGTCCAGGTGGGGGAGCTGCCTCCCTGGCGTCGGTAGCATTGGTGCTTAGCACGGAAAACAAGATCGACGGAAAACAAATCAAGGAAAAAAATATTAAAGAACGTTACAAAAAATATCTCCCACTTCCTTATTTGAAAACTGAAATGACTCACGCTTCATTGTCGTCAGAACATTAATCATCTGAAAAATTAAATATAATGCTAATGACGGCATCTTCAATTTCTTCAAATATCCGGAATAAATTGTGATTAGGGCGAAACTAGCAAATTTATACAAATTGAGATTTTTCAGCAATCAGATAGAGGTGGTACAGATCTACTAACAAATACCCACAAACCGTTTTTTAAATGTTCCACTATCGAAAAATCTGTGCAATGCGAAAGGCGAAACAAAATTTATTTCTACACAAACTTAAAAATGGATTACGCTTTTTCCATTATTTACGATAATACAGGGCGTAATTTTGAAACATTTCAATGAACGGGCGAAACCAATGTTGTTCGCCAACAAAAGCGTAAATAGTAAAAGGCTCATTTTTCACTAACACGTAAATACGTCGAAAAGTTACACACATTTTCAGAGTTGGTTGGAAATGCTATCGAACATGAAGCTTTTTAGTGTGATACAATAGTTGGGTAAAGAAGAATTGCATTATAACACACCATCGACTGGAAATGCTTTAGGTAGTGATGAAACGTCGC